CATTTCATGTATGATCAATTTTATATACATTAACATCAGATACCTGTCCTGATCCCAGGTGTTTCATGTATGATCACTTTTATATTAGTTAACATCAGATACCTGTCCTGATCCCAGGGGTTTCATGTATGATCACTTTTATATACATTAACATCAGATACCTGTCCTGATCCCAGGTGTTTTGTGTATGACGACTTTAAATAAAAATAGAAAACAAATATGAGCTATGTTAATTAACTAAGATCGAGAAAGAAAAATTAACCACGATTTATTACAGTAAATGTGGTATTTATTTGTTTAAACATGACTGAATACCATATTTTAAACTACAAAAACACGGTTAATCTTACCACAACCATTATTATTTGGTTTAAAATGGAAGTACAAAAGCCCAGAGACAGAAAAACGGAGTAAAACGAGGTCAGCTGTTTTTGCTAATGAAATCTTTAAAATATAACATTATAAAGACAAAAAATAACCTGTATGATTGTTTTTTCCCTCGTTATCCACCGCGGTAGGTTCTTTATCCATTATCATCCTGTTTGAAATGACCGCGCTAAAAAAGAACCTGTACTGCGCATGATCGGTGACCTCTCAGTATTGGGGTTTTTTTTTAAGGGGGCGTTTCCCAAACACCGACCGAGCCACGCCCATTTTACGTCGTGGTAATGAAACCCCTGGAATTTAGTGCATGCCTTTCCTGAACACTTCCGGGATGTACAAGTGGCTCAAACTCGCTCATTTTGAGGCAGGAACCGGCGGACGTGCAACAACTTTAACTATGAGGTGAACACAAAACAAAACTTTCTATCCGGAGCTCCTTCACGGGACTCCACACTTATAAACAATCGCTCCATCAGGCTCGCACCATTCACGCGGCTCTCGGTCCCGCCCAGACTCCTCAGCGCTACCAAGCCGACCAATCACAGAGCTTGCGCTACGCGTCATTGCGACGTGTAGTTACATTTTTTGAGAGGTGCACGTCAGCGACGCCGACAGCCACGGCGAAGGGCTATGCGTCAGCGCCGTATCATAACTGACGCCAACTGACCCAGCCGAGACTCGAATCAGTGACCTTCTTGCTGTGAGGTGATAGCACTACCTACTGCGCCACCGCGTCGCCCAATGTTTTCATAGATTTTTTAAAAATAAATAATATTGACTAAAAATACTTATATGCTGCAAAAATGGTTTCTCCTGTGTTTCTCGTCCAAATTTCACCTTTGAAGCATGCCATAGGTAACCCTGAGCAAATATCTCAAACTCTGTGCTACATTTTACCCAGCGTTACTGTGTGCCCCGTGCTCCCCTATGTTGCCAGATTGAAGTAAAAATGCTTCAAGATTTGAACATTTCATCAACTGTGTGGATGAGCTTCATACAAGACTGGGCAACTTGACAAACATGGACAAAATGTGATTGTTTGTAAATAGATTAGGCCATGCAAATTACGGGAGTTTCCCGGGAGAAACAACAAAAAAGAATGGGTGATGGGAGATGGGTGTGAAATACGGGAGACTCCTGAGAAAAATTGGAGTCTTGCAAGGTATGATCTATATGCTGCAGCCATGGTACAGCATTCCTTGATTGTTATGCCAGAATGTGAGTATAGTTTCCAGCCGTATCATCCTAGAAAACAGCAACTTTTCAATTTCTGTAGATTAGTACACAATGCAACTACAAAGTGAATTCTTAATTTTAAAAAAATCATAGAAACCTTTTTTAATGGTCTAAGTTGATTCACTGTGTTATGCTAAGCTAAGCTAAAAGTGCTCCTGCCAGACCCAGACATCAGCTGAATGAATAAAAAGTGGTAAAACTCAACTGTTTAAATTTAGGAGAGTTATAAAATGAGCCAAAAAAGTTCCTTAAAGGTAAACAACAAAGCCAAGCAAGTTAATCTTCCTTAAAAAAATAAATAAATAAATAAAAAACTGTTTTGTCTTCAATCAAAATCAAACCATTAGCTTCTGCTCTGGAATGTCAATCCTTCTTGAATAAGGTCAGTTTGATGGCGGAAATATGCTTAGCCACGCCCCTCCAACCTTTAGATTGCTCCGGGTAAAAGATGAGAGAAGAAATGCACCAACAAAACCCCGTCCCCTATGTTCAGTTCAGTCGGAAATATATCATCATACTGAAATAAAGTTCTGCAGCACCTTCTGGTTCAAGTAGACTTTAAAAATAATTGAGAATGAGACAAGCAGGAACAGAAAATGTCGCCTGACATTTAGACACCAGATGATTTGTAGGACGGAAATGTGAAGGATTCACTTGAGCGGACATGGATTTGTGTGTGATAAGACAGAATGACAGTGAGTTTAAAAAAAAAAGAAAGAGTTCGGAGTGGTTTTGTGTTTGTGTTCAGCGGCACCTTCAGACTCTCTGTACTGTTGTTCGTGCTGCCACCCTCAGGGCTTCTGTGCTGCTTGTCACCACTGAAACACAAGGCGTCAAAACAAAGGACACCGCCAACACAGTCTGCCACCAGGCACACCTGAAACAAGCAGACAACACAGACAGAAACCTTACATACCCATTTCAGTTTTGAGTTACTGTATATGTCAGAGTTCTGACATTTCAACTCAAATGTGTTGTGAACAATATGTGTTATTTATGATAATACTAAATACTTTAACTTTATTTTCAATATTTTCACAGTAGTGTAGCTTCACTTTGTTTGGTGATGTACAAAATTATAATTACTCTCATGTTATGGGTGATACCCTTCAAATAGCCATAATTAAATTCTATACTCTTGAAATATAGCGTCTAGTGAAAGTAGAACACCTTAAATATAAAATAAATCATTTTAAAACCAAGTGAATCAAGGCATTGTAAAAAGGTACAGTATGAAAAATGGATATTCATGTTGAGATGTGCTAAACAGTGTTATTAAATTGACTGCTTTAGATAGATTCACCTTGAGTGAACACTATATGATGGCAAACATAATCTAAATGTAAAAAACAGAGGAAAAGATTTGACCTGTGGGAAAATACGCAGTGTGTGAATTATACATTCAGAGAGGTCAACATTTTCTGTAACGTTAGTTTGTGTAATACATGCTTCAGTAAAACAAATTGATGTATTTATTTAAATTATATCTAATTTATTAATAAAACATATTGAGGTTACTTTGGGTCAAACGTCTTTCGGATGAGACGTTAAACCGAGGTCCCGACTCTCTGTGGTCGTTAAAAATCCCTGGCTAAATTTGCCCACTGGCCTCTGTCCATCATGGCCTTCTAACCATCCCCACATTCCAATTGGCTTCATCTCTGTCTCCTCTCCACCAATCAGCTGGTGTGTGGTGTGCGGTCTGGCGCAAAATGGCTGCCGTCGCGTCATCCAGGTGGATGCTGCACACTGGTGGTGGATGAGGAGATCCCCCCCATAGTGTAAAGCGCTTTGAGTGCCCAGAAAAGCGCTATAAAAATGTAAGGAATTATTATTATTAAACTATGAAAGCTACACGCCTAATTTTTCTTTACTTTAGGATAAATGTAGATACAAAAACTATTTCACATGTCTTGTGAACATTTACAATGTCAATCAGTGCTCTAGATCGGTTTCTGACTGTTGTATGATTTTTTTTCCTCGTACAGATTGCCTTGATCATGCTTTCACAGTGGTATAAACCGTTATAAAGGTGGTCAAATGTATGTTTGTATTATCAAATATAATGGGGGCACGTCCCTCCCACTTTTTATGAAATTTAAATTCATCCCCACACTTTTTCATTGGACAGGCATCCAATATGTTCACAATGTGATGATGTTTTCTTGGAGCAACATACAAATGCAGAATGATTCAAAATTCAAAGACAGAGGATCTCAGGGCGCTCACGTCTCCAAGGTAATCAGTCACCACACCATAGTGTTCATAGAAATATGTTAGAGAAGAGTTCAAACTGGCAAAAAAAAACTCTTCTCTCTTTTATTTGGACATCAAGCAGTGTAATTTGTCATTTGTTATCCAAATTTGACCAGCAACTCTGCTATTGTTCTTGTTGAATGATTCGCGAGTTTTGATGGAAAGTATACTGTGGCGAGGGGGCGTGGCCGAGAGCCGTGGGAACGGAATGAGGATGCACCTGCGTTGCGCACCGGCCTCGAATCCCACGGAAGGAGCTCTGGACTATAAAAGGAGGAACAATGGCAGAGGAAGCCTAGAGAGGACCGGACACGGGCATATTGTTTTACTTTTGCTTTCAGTTTGACGGCAGTCTCCGTGAGGAGCTGCCGTCCATTTGTTTTGGTTTAGACGGCAGTCTCTGTGAGGAACTGCCGTCCCTGTTGTTAATAAATAAATTAAAACTGCATCAGTTCTCCGCCTCCTTCTTCCCGGCGGCCAATGGGCCGTAAACTTTATTACATATACAAAAAATATTAGATACCTGGACAAGTGTGCACTCATATTGTGAGCATCTACCCCTAAAAGTGTAAATAGCAATATAGATATATGTCCATTTCTTTCTTCCTTTCTTCAGTTTACAACCATAAAAATCATGAGAGGGTTAAAATAAGGTAAGATTAAAAATAAACCCTTGGGTACAACTGGGAAAAAATAATGTGTATATCTTTTAATATTCCTTTCTTGTTCGCAATTGGTTACATTAAGTGTATGAATTGAGTGTACATATACTTACTTATGCCCAGGGCTGTTTATATTAAAGTTTATATTTAGCCGCATCATGTTGGTGTTTTATAACCTCGCTGTAATGAAGTTCACGGCCCTTTGGCTGCCGGGAAGAAGGAGGCGGAGAACCAACACAGTTTTTAAATGATTTATTAATAACAGTGACGGCAGCCTCGTCTTAACCAAAACAAACGTACAAACTGAAAGCAAAAGTAAAATGCCCGGGCCCGGTCCTCTCTCGGCTTCCTCTGCCATCGTTCCTCCTTTTATGGTTCAGAGCTCCTTCAGTGGGATTCGAGGCAGGTGCGCACCGCAGGTGTATCCACTCACGCGGTGGCCTCACTCCGTTCCCACGGCTCTCGGCCACGCCCCCTCGCCACAATCGCATTTTTACGAGGTGGGTTGTTAGCTCAACACTCAACCCCCAACCTCAAGGACGAGGACATACAGACATGCTGAGTGTACATATTAGTACCCAAAATGTTTAGTGTCCCTTTTGTCACTGCCACAGTTACAATCATCTTACATCTTGCATCTCAATCATCAGGCAAATTTATTATGAATCAACACTCTTGCTGTTTGTTCAAGCAACTTATTTAAAATGAGTTGAAACAACACAATTGTTACATTTTTGGGGGGACAACTGAATTGTTTGACGTTCAGTCCACTTAAATATGTAAAAACAAAAACGATTAAGTTAATTTAATCGATTTGTGTTAGGACAACATGATGGAATTGTGTGGAACCCATCGTTTTACAGTGTACATAGATCTGACAGAGAAGAGACAATGGACTTGTGGTGACTTATTTCTTTGCAGACCTTTTACATTCTCGAACAATAGTAATGTAACGTATTCATGTAACGTAATTGAATTTATTTGTTATGTATTTACAAATATATTATGCACTGTATAAAAGGTATTTAATAAAAGCATAACAAAAGCACTTTTTTTGTACAAAATCTTTATCAGACCCTGCAATCTTCATAGTTTACCTGTCCTGTGAAGCCCACTCCCTCTGGGGACTGAAGGAAGTTTCTGTAAACCTGGTTTGCCTGAGCAATAACCGCAGCGACAGCATTCTGGTAATGAGGGGCAGCGATGGCAAGGATGGGGAGAGCGGCCAGCGGCAGATGATCCACACTGGTGGACACACAGTTTTCATCGTAGCTGTAGGGGTTCAAACTACAGGAAGACAAAAGGGAAAATTCATGTTAAAAAGCCAACCTGAAACACTGAGTACTTTCCTCTAAGCTTTTTACATTGCCATTGTCTGTATTCTGTCACTGCAGGCATCCTCCAGCAGCGCTTTTGATCGTGTTTTTTGTGTTTTCTGTGATCACGCTGTTTTGAATTCCAGTTTCCTGTCGTGTTAATTTTGCTCACCTGCCCCATGTGATGATGCAATAAGGGATGGTGTTATGTAAGTTTTGCTGTGGCGCGTCTGATTAATCTATTTGTCTAGCAGCTTTCTCAGATTGCCTTGTGCAATTTCTACCCAAGCATGAGAAAACCAAATCTGATTGTTTAGATTGTATGCTTTCATTTACAAAAATCTAAATGTGCAACAAGCTTCACACTGTTACTGTACACGCTGAGAGTTTCATTTACCAAGAATAAAAAAGCACAGCTCAAGAGTAAAACAAGTGCAATGACATCGGTTGGATGGATAAAATGGATTAGATTGTTTAATTCAATGATTTGTTAACTGGAGACTCGCTACAACTCGCCAATTTGAATCAGTGAATCATTAATTGGAGACTCACTGTGACTTAATGATTTGAATCAGTGACTCATTAGCTGACTCATACTGGGTTCCATTTGGAAGAGCTTATCACGATTCAGGGTGCCTCACTCTCAGAAGGGATAAGAACATAGGCATGAGCCCTTCCGAATTTAGTGCAGTGTGTGACACCAAACTTCTTCCCTGCTCAAAGGATTATGGCCTGAAGTGTCATAGAATTTCAAAGTGACCAGTTTTAAGCACTTTTATATTGCGGCCATTATTTTTTTTTCACTCTGAAGTGCCTTTAAGAGGGCTATTTATGCCGTTTGGAATGCACCGTCTCTCCGACATGACAGTTTGAATCAGTGAGCGATTACCTTGAGACTCGCTATGACCCGATGATTTCAATCAGTGAATCCTTAACTGGAGACTCACTTTGACTGGATCACTTGAATCAGTGAGTTGTAATATGAAAACAGATGAAATGAGACCCCTCCAATTCACAAGTGAATCATTCAGTGAACTGCTTTAACAGCTTAACAGCCTATCAGCTTGTTCACTAAGTAGACAAGGTGTCTATGTGCGGGTGATGATTTCTCTAGTTCGAAATGTCAATAAAATGACAGCAACTCTGTAAGCTCAAACCTGCTCTGGAATGACTTAGGTTAATTTTGATACTGTATAGCCAAGACTAGATTAATTTTAAGCATACTGGTGATACTGAAAGTCTGTAACTGCTGAAAGAAAAATGTATACAGAATAATTGGGGAAAATATTCATAAGAAAACGTTTAACCTCCCAAGTGTACCCGGCACCGGGTCCGTGACGTCATTTACTTCCGCATTGTTTAAATTTTAAAGGTCCGTACTGGCCCAATACCCACATAAGTGCCTTCGTTCTCTCATCAGTTAGAATAGAATAACTTATTGCATAGATTATGATAGAGACATTTTTCTTTTTTCTGTTTACTGACATTTGCAGGAGGAGAAGCAGTGGCACAGTAGGTAGTAATGTCGCCTCACAGCAAGAAGGTCGCTGGGTCGCTGGTTTGAACCTTGGCTCAGTTTGCATTTTCTGTGTGGAGTTTGCATGTTCTTCCTACGTTCACGTGGGTGTGTTCCGGTTTCCCCCACAGTCCAAAGACATGCGGTAGGGGTGAACTGTGTAGGCTAAATTGTCTGTAGTGTATGAGTGTGTGTGTGTGTGTGTATATGTGTGTGTGGATGTTTCCCAGACATGGGTTGCGGCTGGAAGGGCATCGGCTGCATAAAAACTTGCTGGATAAGTTGGTGGTTCTTTCCGCTGTGGCGACCCCGGATTAATAAAGGGAATAAGCCGACAAGCAAATCAATGAATGAATGAATAATAATAATAATAATCAATATTATTAATAGTAATATTAAAGTAGTATTTGTTTAATTTCCTAATAAATAATAAACATTAAATTTAATTTCTTAATAAATCGCCTCATTTTTTATTTATTCATATGATTTATACATGAGATTAGAATATTTGTAAAGGAAACATTGGCTCTATATGTTCCATTTACATATATTTGAATTAATATGGAAAACGAGTGCATGTTTTTATCAAAACTAACATTGGATTTTTTTTTTTAATTTAAATCCATGTAGATGTAAAACAATATTTTTTGCACAAAGATATTATGGGGTTTTTCTCTAAAGAAGTTGTTGCCACAACGTTAAGAGCATCATTATGGGCATTTTACGTTATAACTACAGTAACATGGTTCAAACTATGGATCTGCAATAAACACTACAGGTTTTAGGAAACACATGGTCACTACATCGTTCTTTTCCCAAACAATGCATCATACTAGTTTAGCCACGACTTATGTCGTTATCTGGGAAACGCACCCCTGATCATCTCAGATGTATGAAGGACAGACCCATGTCATCATTATTGGCTCTGCCTCTTTGCATCATGATTTGCTATAGGCGTCCGTGCATCTATCATCTTTAATTCACAAATTGTCAATAAATCAATAGCTAATTCTATTTATATTTCCATCAGCACTTTTAGGAGGATGCATGTATGCACTCATTTGCTTTGCTTAGTAAATCTGACCTTTAGAGTCATGAATATGTTGATGATCTTATCAGTCTATGATTTTTAGCTTAGAAAATGCCTCTCCTCTGCTCACCTCCACTGTATTTATATAACATTAAACGACTAAATCACAATGCTGAATACTGACACATACATTTGATATGCAAATGTAATCTGCAGATTGATTTAGATGTATTATTAGCTAAATGTGTTTTAAAGGACAGTTCAGAGGTAGCGACCAGGTCCTCTCTTAGGAAATAGCAGTCTCTGTATCAGAGAGCTGAATGTCTAATTAGCATACTAAAGCTCCTCTATCTTTAATCAGGCCAGTTTCCTGTCACAGAATGTGGTGCTTTGATTAATAGTGTGGCACTCTGCCACGGAGACGTTAAAACGCTTTTAATGTTTTGCTTTTTCCTACATCAACAGCAACACTTATTCCTATCAGACAATGATTGAAGCTCCAATCAGACGCAGACTGATTGCTAAACAGGTGACTTCTTCAAAACAGAGGGGAAAAAACTAATTAAACAAAAAGAGAGAAAATGTGAAAATGTGATGTCTTGTGCATTCAAATCATGCCATTTCTTAATGGCTTAAAAACTGAGGCTTTCCGCACATTTGATGACCGGAATGATTTTAATGCCTGTCTGAATGTTCCCTTCAGCTCAGGAATGGAAAACCAGCAAGAGGCTGCAAAGAAAATGTTCAAATGTCATCATGTAAAATTCATTGTGCTTTGAATGGGGATTTGGCATTATGTGCCCCTGTTCCAGCTTTTCTGACAGGATTGTGACACATTTGGACCTCTCCGTTTGGTGCTTTATGAGGAGTGCTGGGCAAAGTCTGGAGATGATTGAATGGGATTGCTTTATTTCATCATTTAATGAAAGTAAATTAACCTTTGTGCTTCTCAGAGAACAACTGAACGTTTGAAATAGAAATGTTAATTTTCCCCCAGGGCTCCAATGTGCTGCTGGGTTGTTTTGAAAAAGGAAAAAAAAAAGCATTTTCAAGCTTCTCTGATCTAAAATGTTTCACGCTGACAGCTTAGCTTGACTCCAAAGGGCAGATCAATAGGTTCGTTTAACTTTCAGTTAGAGCTGGGTATATCATTTGAGAACTGGACTGCTCAAGGTAAAAGCTTGTGATTCTGAAACCGTGGCATCAGACACAGTCAATAAAGGTTAATAGGTTTGTACGTAGCAAACATGGTTGCACTAATAACTTGTTTCGGTAAAAAAAGTTTTTGGAGGAAAATTCTAAATACATTCATTCATTCATTTTCTTGTCGGCTTAGTCCCTTTATTTTAGATTAGATTAGATTAGATTCAACATTATTGTCATTACACATGTACAAGTACAATGCAACGAAATGCAGTTTAGGTCTAACCAGCAGTGCAATAGCAGCAAGTGCAGGATACAGGAATAAGTTATAAAGTGCAGTTATAGAAAAACTATGGTGATATTTACAGATGGATGTACTATGAACATTATATACAGGTTGGATAAGCTATAAGCAGATTTACAATATATGAATATATGTGCAGGTTGCTATTATTAATCAGTATTGTGCAGATAGATAAACATGATTACAAGTGTATATGTTACAATATATGAATATATGTACAGGGATAGATAAACATGATTACAAGTGTATGTTACAATATATATATATATATATATATATATATATATATATATATATATATATATATGTACAGGTTGCAAGTGTATATGTATAGTATATGTATAGTGGGTGTGAACATAATTACAAATGCCCATATTAATACCTTTATTAATCCGGGGTCGCTACAGCGGAATGAACCGCCAACTTATCCAGCAAGTTTTTATGCAGCGGATGCCCTTCCAGCCGCAACCCATCTCTGGGAAACATCCACACACATTCACACTCTTACACTACGGACAATTTAACCTACCCAATTCACCTGTACCACATGTCTTTGACTGTGGGGGACACCGGAGCACCCGGAGGAAACCCACACGAAGGCAGGGAGAACATGCAAACTCCACACAGAAACTCCAACTGAGCCGAGGTTCGAACCAGCGACCCAGCAACCTTCTTGCTGTGAGGCGACCTACTGCGCCACTGCCTCGCCCATTCTAAATACAACTAATGTCTGTTTTTAAATATAAGCTCTCGCTACAGCCGGGTTTCCATCCTAATGTGAAGCAAATCTTTTCAAAGTTTGCACAAAAATTTTCATTCAAAGTGCAACTTAGCTGCATTAGAGAGATGTTAGAGAAGCTGACTGTAGTATTGGTCACCTAGTAACTAACAGTAAATGAGACAGGCATAGTAGAGTCACATGAGTGTAATGTTGCTGACGTCAGAGTTTATTCTGCGTTTTCATCTCCCAATGTTCTCATAAACCCTTTTTTCACAAGTACAAAACCCTCTCAAGCGAGCGTGAGAATAATTAATTAAATAACTTTTAATTTAATTTTGGATTTCCATTACTCGTTTCTCATGCAATATTTCAAACTGTGCATTAACACAAGGACTTGGAAGCCCAGCTCAATAGAGTCATTTGACTAAGAATCAGCTATATTATGGCAACTTGACATAAACAAATGTCACAACCTGTTTTTGTCTCGACATTACAAAACAACAAAACTTGTCATAAATTAGTCATGAACACAATTTTCGTGAAGCAATTATAAATACAGTGCTTAGCATAATTGAGTACACCGCATTTTGAAAATGAATATTTGTATCCATTTCTCAGTGAATATAGGCAATGTACTGTATATTCATATACAGAGTGGGCCATTTATATGGATACACCTTAATAAAATGGGAATTGTTGGTGATATTAACGTCCTATTTGTGGCACATTAGTATATGTGAGGGGGCTATCTTTTTAAGATGGGCGGTGACCATTGTGGCCATTTTGAAGTCGGCCATCTTGGATCTAACTTTTGTTTTTTCAATAGGAAGAGGGTCATTTGACACATCAAACTTATTGGGAATTCCACAAGAAAAACAATGGTGAGCTTGCTTTTAACCTAACTTTATTCTTTCATGAGTTATTTACAAGTTTCTGACCACATATAAAATGTGTTCAATGTGCCCATTGTGTTGGATTGCCAATGCAACCCCTCTTCTCCCACTCTTCACACACTGATAGCATCCGTAGTTTCAGGTGCTGCTCATCTTGTATCTTCACACCATAGACAACTGCCTTCAGATGACCCCAAAGATAAGTCTAACAGGGTCAGATCAGGAGAACTTGGGGGCCACTCAACTGGCCCACGATGACCAATCCACATTTCAGGAAACTGTTCATCTAGGAATGCACAGACCTGACACCCATAATGAGGTGGTGCACCATCTTGCTGAAAAAAAACTCAGGGAACGTGCCAGCTTCAGTGCATAAAGAGGGAAACACATCATCATGTAGCAATTTCAAATATCCAGTGACCTTGAGGTTTCCATTGATGAAGAATGACCCCACTATCTTTGTTGTCTATGATGTGAAGATACAAGATGTGCACCACCTGAAACTACGGATACTGGAAGCCTGTGCTGGCATTTCTCCTGCAGTGTTGCTATCAGTGTGTGAAGAGTGGGAATAGAGGGTTGCATTGACAATCCAACACAACGGGCAGAACATTGAACACATTTTATAAGTGGTCAGAAACTTGAAAATAAAGTTAGCCCCCTCACATATACTAATGTGCTACAAACAGGACATTAATATCACCAACCATTCCCATTTTAATAAGGTGTATCCATATAAATGGCCCACCCTGTACATTGATATTTTAGATTCAATAATATTTTAGTTAGCATCATATTTAGAATTTGAAAGATAATACAATTAAATTCAAGCTAAATATTGAAAAAAATTACAACTTCCAGAAAAAAAAATCAACTGAATCTTTTAATTAAAAAATATATATATAAGCTCGAAATTTTTCTTCAGTACTGACTAATCTAAAGTACCCATATAGCAAAATTTCTCTGGCCCAGCTCTGGCCCACACAATCAGGTTTTGCTTGGCCCACATGCCGCAGTGAATTACGGTACATGACTGGACCAAATCTGGCTTCCAGACAAGGGCCAAACACAGACCATATCTGGGCCAAGTCTCAGCCAAGTTAATAACTCTGAACTGGGCCTGAACTGGGCCAGTAAGGTTGGTGTGTCACGATTGCAATGAAATTAATAAACCTATGAAGCGTTGCGCTTTAGGCACACTATGGGCCTTGTTTTTTCTCAGTGATATGATTGGTAGAATTGATTTATTTAATCTAAAATTATTTTTATGTATTTTAAATGTGGGTCAAGAATGGCCAAACTCACGTGGCCCACAATCAATTTTAAAAATCTGGGCCAAATACTACGTTTTACATCTGGCCCAAATCTTGTGTGCCGCATTATAGACGGTGCCACCTCTGCCAAACCCAGGCCATGGTTGGCCCACATGCTGTATGCCAGTGCCGGATGAATGCCTGATGTCCCAGCTTTATGCCAAATCTGGGCCAGAATTCTTTGCTACTAGGGTACAGTTGAAGTCAAAATTATTAGCCCCCCCCTGTTTATTTTTTATTATAACACTTTATAATAACTTCACACGATGAATCATTTATTAAGCATTAGCAAATAGTCGATTCATTATCTGTTAAGCATTAACTCTACATTAACAGACGCAAGTAGGTAGATAGAAATGCTCTGTTCTTGACTTTTATAATGTGCTTTGTGTCTGTACACTGACAGAGAGAAGCAACATGAGTGAGAGGACCAGCATTCAGCCGTACATGTATGACTCGGACTCACAGACCAAACAGAGACGACTGTTCAGGAATCAATAATCCTAATGTGCCAGAATGTATCAGAGTGGTAGTTACAAAATCATGTGTGTCTTTGTATTGTTTTACTGCCGCTATGTAACGATGCATGCGTCATTCATTTAGAGATGTATCGATTAAGCGGTTTCACTATCAACAGCAGTTTAATTTGTCATGGCTATTTAATCATAAAGGATTCTCAACACCGTGTTTCTACATGGAACAAAACTGTGGCAAATAAACAAAGTTATGCCAACTGTGTGCTAGTTTTATGTTCCGAGCTTGTACAATGAGACCAATAACCACGCACACTGGATTAACTTTAACTGAGGCTATAACTAGCCTCATGCCTCACTAGGCAACATGCTCACACTTTCCAGCCATACCTAGTTGAGATGACAGGGAGCTTCTGTGACCGCGGAAAATGCAAACGGCTGAAGTTTGAGGAAGATGCAATGAAAAGTACACAGGTTTGCAAACCCACCTAAAGTTACAAACAGTGACACCAATGAGAGCGATTATCCACCAGCCTAGATCAATCTAGTGTTTTCAGAGAGAATGCTGAAAGATTCGGTGGATCAGCTGTTTTTAATGGCCCGAATCTCGATACGTTGCATTCACTATGTGTTCAGCGGAAATACCCGCTAAAAGTAAAATCTCTGTTGCTCATTCGCAGAAAGACGATGAGAGTCTTGTGTTGAGCCCAATGAGTCTTACATCCAAAAATTTTGCTTCGCTTTGACTTACACGCTGAAAATGGCGGATTTGAAACAACAAACGGAGGATGTGCTAATGCCGTCAATCAATATTGTTGGACAGGGGGACTGCATTCCCCCTGTCAAGTCAAGTTGCGATCGGTCTCAAAACCACTCTAATTGGTCCACAGTGTTAATGTCATTAAAATTAAGCAAAAAAAGGACTGGGTGTGTTTATATCACCCCAATATGATGGTCTATATCAGTGGTTCTCAAACTGTGGTACGTGTACCACTAGTGGTACGCAGGCTTACTTCTAGTGGTACGCGGAGGAATGAAATATGTCATGTACATGCTACACACATTTCAAAATATGTCAAAAATGATGTATATAATATGTCATATTTGACATATAGCCTATATTTCTGATGTAATCTGCCACGTTTTTAACTGTGCAGAGTTGTAGCTGCTTTACTGGGCCTTCTGCGCTGCTGTATTTCAATACTGCTCATTTTGGTGGTACTGGGAGAGACAATTTTTTTCTGAGGTGGTATTTGATGAAAAACGTTTGAGAACCACTGGTCTATATACTATACCTACACACATGTCTGTCTAAAAAGCTTGAAAAGTACATTTTTTCACCATAGGAGCCCTTTAAAACTTCAGTGCCAGGACAGCACTATTACAGACAACAAGGGGGACTGCAACGTTTTATCACTCACCGGGTTACATTGGCTGAAGCAGAGAAGCGTCCTCACATTGCTTACCTGCTGCCATGAACTGAAGCCTAGGAGGACATTTCTTAAAGAGATAGTGATTTAGTTTGATGCCTAATATGTTTTCAATTGTTTAAATTCAACTTAACTGAATGATATCAAAGTGATGTTTACACCATTTCTGCATTTTGAAATCGCAGCAACAGCTGGAGGTTTGTAGTCCACAGCATGTTGTTGCAATGTTTACAGTGCTGATCCTGTACTTCTGCCTTTCTTCCCACCTCAGCCTTGCTTTTGTTCTTTAAGACGGCGGCCGCGTAAAATAAGCGTATTAGATGAATTAGTCCTGACACAGTTTAACTACAAAGAGCTGACTTCTTGTCATATTTTTTAAACTAGCAAATCTGATAATATGAGAATGTTTAAGGTGCCTGAATAATTATTCTTTTGTCACAGTCTAATAAGTATTCAATTTCAAACACAGCAATTTTTGTTTCCATGTCTTACTTGGAGACCAGGGTAAAGGCATCAGCACACACGGGTGGGCAGGGCACCAGTCTGACCAGCATGCTGTCTGCGGCCGCCTGGAAATGTGCCCGCGCCACACGCTCCAACACAGACGCCAGAGTGGCAGCGTCTCCCGCCTTCCCTCCAGGATCGCCACCTCCAGAGTCCAAGATATGACCTCCATGAATCACCAGGATGAGTAACTGCGTCCTGCACTTCCTCTGCAGGAGGATTAAAGAGATGAAATGAGTCCAAACTGAGGGAGTAATTACATGCGATTAGAAAAGTGGTAATGAAGACTGACCTCCATATCTTCCAGACCGTCCACGCTGCTCTGAGGTGCACATCGAGGGTGCCGCAGTCTGTAAAGGCTCTCTGGTGGTCAATGAGAAACAACAACAGATTGAACTGGCTTTATGGTGCTCTGCGGTGAGGCAGCTGTTTTACCTCCAACCCATCCATCTTACTGATGACTGATGCCACACTCATATTCTTTAGAGAGACCCTTGTTCCATCTTTCCCAAAGCAGAAACACACAAGAGAGTTCTCTTCATCTTGTGAAGGATTTGAACTGATTTGCTCAAATCCTGCTCATTACTGCAATCTCAATATATTTGTAACGCAATGCCCAATACATTTGTTTAAATTAGAGCCAAACAGTAGAGTAACAAATACTCAAATTGATGTAACTGAGCAGGTTATCTCACACTGTAAAAAATGACTGTGATTGTATGGCCGGTAAAAAACTGTAAAAATGCTACAGTACAAATCCCTAACCTGGTTAACGGTGTGTTTCCTTAACATATACGGCGAATAACCGTAAATTGACTTTCCCAGAATTCCCTGCATGGCACATCACTTTTTATGCATTTGGTTGACATTAATATGGATCTTTTTAGTTGTTTCCCCATCAGTTATGTACATTAGAGATTTATGTTACATCTAATGTTGATAAACAATGTTTATTTCATGACTTTAATTTTATGTGTGTTACCATGCTGGTGTTTAGTAGCTGTGTGAATGACACTGAGCACCTTCTATATGCTGATACTCTTTTCCGCTTGTGGGAAAAGTTGATTGTGATGAGCATTGGCTCATTATGTAACTTCCTCATCAACTACTAACGTGTCTAACTGTTTAACAAAAGATGTGTAAATGTTGATCATTCAAAACACAGACATTTTACCTCTATAAATTAATAAAATACGGTAAGTTACCGTAAAAATAAAAAAATAACTTTAACGGTTTGTACTATGGTTTTAACGGTAAAGTACTGGCAACCACAGCTGCTGTTTTTTACCGTAAATTTTACGGAATTATTTTTTTACAGTAGTTTTAAAAATCAGTACTTTTACTTGACTGCATTTTTAGTGCTGTGTCTGTACTTTTACTGCATTGTTTTCCTAACCTGCTGTCACTATTTTTTTTTCTTGTTTATGGTGATTGGCAGGGTGACGCAGTGGCACAGTAAGTAGTGCTGTCACCTCACAGCAAAAAGGTCGCTGGTTCGAGCCTTGGCTGGGTCAGTTGGGGTTTCTTTTTGCCTGGGTTTCCTCCGGGTGCTCCGGTTTCCCCCACAGTCTAAAGACATGCAGTAAAAGTAAATTGGGTAAGCTAAATTGTCTGTAGTTAATGGGTGTGTATAGATGTTTCTCAGAGATGGGTTGTGGCTGGAAGGGCATCCGCTGCGTAAAACATATGCTGGATAAGTTGGCGGTTCATTCCCCTGTGGTGACCCCAGATTAATAAAGTGATTAAGCCGAAAAGAAAATGAATGAATGGTGATTGGCTAAAGTAGAGTAATCAGTCTATATGTTTCTTCCATTCAAATTGCATCACACAAAACAACCTCAAGACACAGAAGACACAAAATTGTTACACAATTAGACTGCATGTCATATATATATATATATATATATATATATATATATATATATATATATATATATATATATATATATATATATAAATATATATATATTAAGGGTGTAACGATATGCGTATTCGTATTGAACTGTTTGCACAGTACAAACCGAACGATTCAATTCAGACTAATTTCTAAAAAGATAAAAGAGATTAAGTACAAAATTTAATGTTTTTAGTGCAGCAACCCTTAACATGGCATCCCAAATGACGTGGCAGACAACGTGCTGCCTTCTTCGCTGTCATGTTAAACGGTAGACCATCGCTTTTAAACTCAGAGTATCATTTTATTACAGCATGCACTCATTAGCAATTTTGCTGCCTTCTGTGTCTGTCAGCCTGCTCATGCTGGCTCCGCCCACGTTGCCCCAGCAACCCTGGACCTGACACAGAACAGGCAATTTCAATAACCTATTCACATATCACCACACCCGCCCACCTTCAAACACTACTCCAGTCAGACACGCGCTACACTAGCTTGCAAAATGGCTAGTTAAGTCTCTCGGAAGTTTCAGGAGTTTCCCTCAAATGCAAAAAGACACCAGGGATGGCCGAAAACGAATGATAATCTTCCGGAAATCACACGTCTCCCAACCAGTCCTTTAATACGTTGCACACCTCTCTTCACCGCATCCCTCCCAGCTCTTCAGGTACGTTGGGCACAACTTACCTCAGCCGCTCAGTTACATCACATGCAAAAGCCCAAACCACTCTTCAGATTTGTGGCCCACCATCACCGCCACCAAGAGAGTGGTGGAAAAAAATATATATAATATAATCGATTCGGTAAAAAAATTGTTGTTTTTTTAACATTTAGACATAACTTATTTAATAGCAGTAATCACAATACCTTGATACCGTGAAACTGTGGTATTTTTATCCAAGGTTAACATACTTAACATACAAATATTTGCCTAATCCGCTTATTAAGTGTGACGTCACGCGAAGTGGCTTCCGGGTCCAAGAGCTCTATTCAAATGCATGGGGAGACTCATGAAGTGGTAATTATAAATGATTACAAAGCAATTTAATACTTTTGAAAATCATGATCGCAATATATATATCCATGCCTAATATCCGATGGCCAGAAAGTGATTCATTTTTTTATAAATTGTTAAAATGTTGGTATTTGTGATGCAGCAAGCCCAGAGATTGTTATGCACACTATGACTTTATATAAAATTAACTTTAATGTGTGATATGAATTAAAAGTGATCATAAACAAATAATTTCTCAACTCAAATGAGTGGAGGCTTGGACCCGGAAACAGTATTACATACATCACCAACACGTCATCACTAAACAAGCGGATAGGTTACACAGATTTCTTTCTGCATGCAAATGCACCAAGTCTATTTGTAGTCCATGAATAAGTTTAACATCGTAATACTTAACACTCACACACTACCCATGAGTACAAAAGTAGTATTTAGAACAGACCATTTTACTTTATTTGGCAAGCAATAGTGCCTTAACTGGATTAGGAATTTATAGCACTCTTCCCACCACTGGTCAGAAGAGAGAAAGATCTGCAGTCTAATTTGCTGTCACTCCCTCTGCCAATATATTAAAAAGGCTCACACAGCAGTGTTAACTCTTTTTCCGTTTTAAAAACAAACTGCTTTAATATACAGTAAATCTTTTTAGTTTGAAAATGTTTAAATGTACAAAACAATCTGTATTAATTCATGAATTGTTCAAATTAATCTGGGAAAATATAATATAAGTGTCTAAATATAATTTTCCATTTATTTTCATATGACGTATTTAAACATTTTAATATAGAAAAATATATAGTATGAATTATTAGTGTAACAAACTTTAATATTCACTCCTAAAATGTACACACAATAAATGTCACATTTCACATAATGGATTTAACGCTGCATAACATTGTAATAAAAGCTTTAAAAGCTTTCAGCATATCAAAAAACTCCACTGTCACCACATCGTCACCACAATGCAGTGGAATGAGGACTCTCTGAGTTTGGATGGTTATTATGGTTCCATTAGCTCTTGCTGGTAAATGCCATAACTACACTCAGCTGGCTAATGGCATTTTTCTCCATTAGTAGCTCCATTTACGATTTAAAGAGTCCTAATACGGTATTTTAAAGGTTGCTATTTTTACAATAGATAGTCTAAGGTGCATGTTGATCTTTAAAACTTTGCAGACCTTTTACACTCATGGGCAGCTACATTACAAAGTGCATTAAATACAATATTTAAATAACATAATGGGGCACTATAAAATTGTGTATTGTCTAAAAATCAGCACTAAAAATTCAATAAACCAGCTGGAAAATCCATATTGAAAGACTCATAAAAGTCAATTGAATTTCCTTCTGTCAAATACTACAGTAGAATTTTCACCATCCAGCTTCTATAAAATTTCCCTTTTGAGAACAATGTTTAATTTGAACCATATCAGAACTGCAGGTAAAATGGCCTTTTATATTTGACTTATCTAATATTGTGATTGGCATATTATTCAGCCTTTTTAAAGAGCACTAGAGTTTTTCAAGTCAGAAGCTGACTGCTCTTTGCCTGTCAAAGTCAACCTCAGAAGAAATCAAAGCTCATGCTGCTAGCGGTTGTGCTCTAACCGCTTCAGAATTTCAATAGCAAGCCAGTCTGCATCTGTTTGTGGCTCTGAGTGAGGCTGGGGAAAACGGGTATTAATGAATAATGCAAGAAAACCTCCAGACAAACTGGGAAGAGAGAACAGAAGGGAGAGTTAGGGAGCATTTCACAATGAAAATCCGAGTGGCACTCAAAAAACAATTCAACAATTAAGACTTTTAAATTCTGTCTCATTTTAAATTCTGAGGTTACAGGGCACACAGTTGTTTGCTGTGTCTTGATAGGGTTTTCACTGCTTGAAAACAAACTGCATGTCTTGCCCTAAGCTCCCATTACCTCAGTTCACTGAATAACACCATTAAAATGCCCTGTCAGTTCACTGCTTATAAGCAGTTACAATATTTACAGTGGAATAAACAATAGCAGGGACAGAAATGTAAAAATACATAAACCTCTGTGAAATAAAGTGGACCCCTGTGCCTAATTTCAAACTAAACTAACCAAACTGTAAAACCCATAAAGTTAAGGTAACCCAAACCATTTAAGGAAACCGATTGCAACAAACTAAGTTCAAAAACTAGTCCTAATGAGTTTTGTGAACTTATTCCATGAACGAGGCAATTTGAGCACAGTAAAACCCTAAAAATGAAGAGAACTCAGTACTGTACTGTAAAACCCAGTGAGTTAAAGCAACTCAAACAGTTTGAGGAAACCAATTGCTACAAACCATTTGAGTTAAAAAATTGATCTATGCGAGTACTGTGAACTTGAAGTTCAAGTAAGTTAAAGTAATGAGGTATTTAGTTACATCATTACCTTCAAGATTGAGTTTAAAACTCTTTTCAAAAGAGTTTAATTAACTTTCAGTA